CGGCGGGGCCGGGCCGGGCCTCGCCTCCCTCCTCCGCTGCCCCGCGGCCTGCCCGGGGCTCCCCGAGGAGGGCGGGAACGGAGAGCGGTCTGTTTCGGGTCTGTTCACGGCGGAGGGGCCTGGTTGTCCCGGTTCCGCCAAAGAAGTCTCTGCGCCCAAACGCGCTGGTTTTACGGGCCATCCGCTCCGTTCCCCGCTGCTTCCCGCTCTTGTGAAGAGCCGTAGGGTGGCTTTGCTGCTCGGCTGTGAATCTCTGGAACTGCTTGGGCCTGGCGTGAAGTCACAGCGATATTTGTGGCTCTTAGGGAATCGGTCCCGCCTTTGGGGCGTTCAGGTTTCCGTGTCACAACAGCTGCGGGGATCTCTCCCCCTTCTGGCGGTGCTGGAGGGCTGAACTAATCCTTAAGGGGTCCAGGTGAACATGGCGTGGGGTGTTCTCTTTTATTATAACCTGAAAACTAGGTATGTGTCAAGATGTCTTGTTCCCTCCCCTTAGATCTTGGAAATCCACTGGAAAATAAAGTGTGTTTGGCTTTCCATTCCATCAGACTGGAAACATGTTACAGTTCTGGACCTTGGTGGTTGTTTTTTTTTAAATAAAATTAAGCGAATGAAGGCAATTACTTAATTTAGAAGTATTAAGACATTTTGTTATCATATGCTTGGCAGTTGTAATGTGCCAGTTCTTACTGGTGACTCTGAATTCATTGCATCGCAGAGTCTGACTGAGAAGGATGTCTGTAGTGTCAGGTTTGTAGGTGTAAACCCAGTGAGCTGTCCCTGCAGCAGATGGTTTGCAGAGGGGTAAAAACCTGTGACAAATCCAGACTGGCAAAGTAGAGCAGTGGGGAACAGTGTCCCTGGCTCCCTGGGGAGTGCCATATCCAGTAAGAGTCACTTGTAAATGAGTTCTTCTTTTCCCCACCCTTTTTCTTCCCCTCTTTTTCACCTCTTTTTAAATGTATCTCTTTTTCTCATGAGCACTCTTCTTTCCTCAGTGACTCTCTTAACTCAAATTTCTGTCTTGGAGAGGAGGTGACTTTAAGGATTGGACAGATAATGTAGGAACAGCAACATTTGTTAGTAAATACAGAATCATAAAGGTTGGAAAAGATCAAGTCCAAATATGATGTGTAGTAGAAGTTAATAGATACCATCATGTGTCAGGTTATATTCAACAAGATGCTTTATCAAAACAAATTCAAGTGATCACAGGAGCCAGAAGCTGTAGCTCTGTCTCAACTCCGTGAGCAGCAATAAAATTCCTCATTTCTGTTCATATTAGGATATTCTGACTGGACTAAGCAATCCTAATTGCAGAGCAGTATTGCAGTGCTTTGGGAATAGAATGTCTGCTGAACTGCTAAAGCATATTTCAAAGCAGTGCAAAATGTTAATGATGTTAATTAACCATCAACATCCCTCAGAAACATTTGTAGACAGTCAAATATTTAATCAAATTGATTACAGCTGCATGTATAATTAAATGGTTTTTCTTTCCATGGTGCTATTTTGATGGAGACCAACTTTCTGTGGTCCTTCCCAGACACAGCACAAAATGGCATTTGAATCCCTCTGCCTTCCTTCATGGCTTGGTGTGAAAGAGCAGCTGTTGGATGTCTGTCCTGTGGAGGTGTAGGGTGTCTGTTCTTCATTTGCTTAATCTATTCCTTTCCATTTCAGTGTGACCAGTAGTTAATTACATGCTGGCATGTCCCATAGTATTGTATTTCTTTTCCTATATGCTTAATTGCCCCAAACTGTACAACCTTGTAGGTGTGGAGGCAGAACTGATCTCTTTCC